CGAATATTTCGAACATAGAATTTCCTCGTTTAAGGAAAAGCAAAAAGGCAATGTCCGAAAACAAATATCAAAGGTATCCAGAAAGAGTATGATATAGAATAATTGGAAATTATATAAATCATGAATTTAAAGACAGGCCCGCCTGATACCCGACGTACTGCACAAAAATACTTATATTTTCCCCACACACAAGATCCACATCTCAAGCCACCAAAAACAAAAACACGAAAATTTTCAAACAAAATTAAATGTTTCGGAAACGTTTAATTATACCCTCATGCATATGGCTAGACAGGGTATATATGATTGGATAGGTCAAAACGTGCCTAGTCGAAATAACGGTTTTATATCCTAGGTGTCTTTGTAGCAAATCCGTTTCAGGACATTTGGATTCGACCTAGCGATGTTCGTCCGTCCGTCCGTCCGTCTGTCTGTCTAGCTGGCTGGTGCGCACGATAACTCACGACGGGAGTATCCGATTTGGTCCAAACTTGGTACATGGTCATATTATTATCAAGCTTAGATCGAGTTCGGAGAGGGGCAATATCGGAGTGGACCGATCTGGTATCTCCCCCATACAACGTCGAAATTTTTGAAAAAATGTTTTACTACACAGAAAGAAAAAGGATAATCCGATTTTCCTCCATCTTTGCAAATCCTAATATTTGCGTCAGTGCTAGGTCAGGTGCGAAAATGGACATTATCAGTCCACTCCATCAAAGGGTCAAAAATTTGAATAATTATAACTTTTATAAAATGTGATATATGAGTCCGATTATCTTATTAGACACATCACAATATTTTTTTATTACCCAAGGTCTGGTGTGAAGATGGTATATATCGGTCCACTCCTTCCGGTATCTCCCCCACAAAGGGTCAACGGTTTGAATAGCCAAACGATTATAAAATCCGAAATAAGCATTCGACTCTCTTAAAATTTCACACATCCCAATATTTCTATTAGCACAGGATCTGGTGTGAAGATGAGTTACATATATCGATCTGCTCCTTCTGGTACCTTCCCACAGAGGGATCAAATTTTTAATAAGAAAACGTCCTGAAAATTCGAAATAAGCGTCCAATTCTTTTCAAACTCCTCACATCTCAAAATGTGTACTAACACAAGATATGGTGTGGAGATGACAGATATCGACCTACCTCCTCCACAAACGATTACGATCATAACTTTCGAAACAAGTCAGCGAATCCATTCGAAACTGGTATATGTTAATATTTCTCTCAACAAGATTTTGATTTTCAAATATTCGCATAAAACTGAAAATAAATGTTCAAAATTTTTATTTTTATTAGATGAAGTTCCATATCTGGAACTTCACGCATCTTTTAATATTCTCTAAAAAATTATGACATATCTCATATCTAGTGATATAGTCCAGTTATGGAACGTCAGAAAGGAGGAAGACAACATTGACCAACCTTCCACCATAAAGGCTCAATAAACTAACAATAGCTGAGAAAACATTCGTCGGTAAAAACCGACCGATACTTTTTAACTTTTTTTTAAACATACACAAACCGTAAATTAGTTCTGTCGAAGTTGAAATTTTATCAGGGCTACTTAAAATTTGACGTTGCCTACAAAACCTCCCCCCTACTATGGTAACATATGTTCCACGGCATATATGTATATGTGATGATTAATAGTTCAAGTCGACATGTCATAGTTCAAGTCAACGATTTAATGCCATCGATGACTAATTACAAGGCTACGTCGGTGAAGTAGTCGTTACCAAAACATCGGGTTTGAGTCAGAAAAGTTGTCTTTAACGACAATTTCGCTTACCTTGTTGCTGAGAAAAATTAATAAAAATAAATCTGACTATACAACATGTACTTTGGGATTATATTATATGAAGATATCTGCTCCACAGTTAGTATACCACGTAATCTTGACTCTCACTCCAAGCCTAGGTATCTGTGTGGGTCAGAGGAGCTGCCCACATCCACTTTTTTAGATCTATATGTACAAATTTTTAAAAAAGCATAGTAAAACTTCAGTTGAGAATAACTGGCCCGACTTAACTCATATTTTCTTTTGGTTATTTGTAATTACACTGAAAACGTTTTCAAGAAAGAAAATTTTGAGAAAAGTCTCTAGAAAAATTGCAGAACTGTATTAACTGTTCTATTTGATTTGTTTCAGAATGTCTTTTGGAATTGAAAATTCTTATTGAAAAAACCCGAGAAATTTTGCATATTTTGTGTACATGCCGTTATATGGTTGCCATAATAAAATGTTCAATTTTGATTAAAAAATACTTCTCGAAGCATCAAAACATTTAAAAGCTCAACGCGCTTTTAAACAGTTATTGTCGGTATTGATTTCACAATACTCAAAATATTACATGTCGAATTACAGTTCATTCGGTAGAACATTACTATCGATCCTGAGGTAGGAAACTCCAGAAAAATGACTAGATATGGAAATAATCCATTCAATGCAAAATTCATTGGGACTGCAATCAGTGAACTACCGAATATGAAGAGGCAATGTAATATGCGTACTATACAAAATAGTGGAGCGAATTTAGGATCAGGTTTTTTGAAACACTATAAATCGCCCGGTACGTGAACCTATATTGACATTTTTGAAATGCATATTTACTTCCCTTTAGTCGAGTCATCATTTATGCTAAAAACTGTGCCACTTATGTGAGCCAGATGTGTGAATTATTATATTTTAAAAACTATACGTTAAATACTAAAACTACAGACCGGCAACGCGGTCTGGGCCAGCTAGTATATTATAAAATGTTAAAAACTGTACCACCCATTGTTTAAAATACTAGCGCCATCTGTTAAATGTAATTAATAACGAAAATGTCATATTTTTTCGTGTCTTTGCTACTGCAAATTTCTTGTTAATCCACTTTTGTCGCCTGTCATCTACACTTGATATTCTTATGTGGTAGTTGAATAAAACTATGGGTGTGTGTGTGTCTACGGTATTATACTTTTACGCACTAGCAAAGACATAAACAACACGTTTCGGTAAATGTCTACACTTTCACATACCTAATGCTTCAAAAACTCTTCAAAGTCTCCAATTGTAAACTAGAGGCGCTAGAGACAACAACGCATACATTTAACAAATAGTTGGACTTGGACTATGGTCCCTTATTACGAACTGTGTGAGCAATATCATTTTTATGTTTTTGTGTTTTTGCCAAGACAACAAAAACCCGCAAATCAAGAAAAATCATGTTTTTAGTACCGTTAGTTGGATTAGCATGAACATTTACAATTTCTTATGTGAAAACAAGCTGGAAGGCACCAGTCCGTTTGACGACAGTTATGTACTCTCAGCATACGGATATTGCGATATATATTTTTACCGAAAGGGTTTGTACCGATATTTCCAAAGATGTTACGTGATTCAGTTACTCACTCCTCTCCCTATAAGAAAATTATGGATAGAAGGGGACCGATATATCCCACCAATACACTAAATATATAATACTTTCGCATTTGGTACAAATTTTAATTCCTATACAAATATTAGGATGGATAAATATTATGATGAATTTCGAACTTCTGATTGTGATGACGAGTAGCAGAAGTGGACGATACGAACTCGCTCTCATTTATACAAAAATATAACGAACACTCCCTTCGAACATTGTCGTACGCTGCGTAAAAGTGTAAAATATCTCGTCACTACATCTCATTCTCATCATTCATCGGAAGCGATAGTTTTAAGGATCCTGAAAGTTTAATTCGAATTTTCAGTGCCTTATCGGACAGTGAAACATAACCTCAAAATTTTCTCAAATAAAAAGAGGTTGATAAGTGGTGGTATGGTGGAGGATATAACAAAAGATACCATTGGGGTGTGCCGACACATGTATACCCTCTGTCTATGCCCGTTTATTTAAATATATTTGGAATTTAGTTATGAATATTCAATGTTTGACCCTTTATGGGGATAATACCGAAGGTGTGGACCAATGTTGTTCATTTCCCATCTGATCTGATTCTGATATACATAGAAGGACATGCCAGATTTGGATAGAATCGACCACTTCCTTCTTCCTTCACTTTATATGAGATATGAGTTTTTATTTTTTTTAATCTTGAACTTTTGTGGACCCTTCCATTTTCACTCTTCATCTAAAACTGATAAAAAAGCTACCTGTAGGAATGGTCCGCTATATCCCTTATTCACAACAGACCGAGTTTGTTCACACGAAAACTCTGTAAGGAAATATTTGTTCAGACTTTGCAAATCCTATCATTTTTTTCAGTTCTATGAACAGTATCCGCCCTCTACTTTTATTACCTCTTCAAACTTTGTATATCACAGTATTTTTTACCAACCCGAAATCTGATTGGAATATGGAATTTATCGGCCTTCTAGTATCCCCCATAAAGGACCAACTTTTCGAAAAATCATAACGCAAATCAAATTACATAAATTAACAAAAAACAGTCATAGATAGGCTTAGGATGTACTTTTTTCGGCAAAACCGACTGATATTATTTTTCTACATATGTCCTTGCAGTCTAAGTGTCACTCAAAATCGCTTTAAACGAACCACTTTTCATTATCCAGCCCAAATAAAGAAGTTCATTTAGGCGCTCGTTTTCCCTCAGCGGCTGCTGAACATGCTTTGCAGTTAGTGACGAAAGGAAACGTGATTGACTGATTCAAATAACATTGTTGTTCACGCAAAATGGTAGCAGCCCAATAGCAACATGTTATGGTAGGAAGCCGCTAGTAAAACATAAACAATGGCAATTTGACAGATATTTGTAGACATTTCATGTCATGCGTGAGTGTGTGTGTGTGTGTGTCTATATGAATGTATCTTGTAAAAAAATATTCAGCATTTGAGAGTCGCTGTGAGAGAGCCCGAGAGAAAAAGCTTTATGCTTGCTGCTTAAAAGCTTTAGAGGCCAATCCAGTCTCCATTCCAAAAATGCTTCGTCCTTTTTAGTCCTGTGATTAGCATAATACTGCACAGTACGTGTTTGGTCCTTGGAGCTTTCGGTTGAGCATGGACAGCATAATATTGACCGCACAGAATTACAAAGAGCATACTTGAGGAGCCACAACTTCACTTCAACTTCCAACTGTGTTTATATGTGTATGTGCCAAATACAAAGTGATAATAGATGCCAAATTTAATCAGAAAAATCTAATCGAAAACCTAAATTATACAAATATCTGCAATATTCATAAATCTCGTCAAACAAAATACTCGGAACTAGTGAGGCGTGTGCGCTTTTGCTAAGGACCAAGGATTACCTGGCAAAAGTTCGTTTTGAGAATTTTGAGTTATATGCTAAGTAACTACATGTGTGTTGGTTGGGATTTGTTAATAAAATTTCCTCCGACTGACTGTGTGAATGCTACAATGTTTTAATTCTCCCGGGATTTGACAATAACACCATTCGATATGCTCCTCAACAAATTTATGAGTAGCTGCGTGCTGCTCATCGGCCTTCTTGCAGAGGCAAACTCGGCCCCTACTCACCATCTGACTATAGGTGTCGACGGAAATACTCCAACATTAAAAGTGACTTCCGCTGAACTCGGTTTAAGTGCAAAGGAAGAGAGGCAGGCCAAGATTCGCAAAGAATTGAAAATAAATGAGAAACAAAAAACATTCAAAAGTAAAACCAATGTCAGTTACAAAAAGGACAAGTCCGTGTACTTTTCAAAAAATATGGCACTAAAAGCAACAACAACAACAATCACCGCGACCGATATACCGGCGGAATGGTATACCGAAGCAGTTGCTATGGACAGCTCATCAGTTGCATTGACAAGTGCAACGCCAACTGACAACATAATTTTGTCCACCGCCGAAACCCCAGTTGCACCAGTGACAACATCAGCAGTGGATGCCATCTCCTCTTCGACGAGGGAACAAACAGTCACTGCAAGTGGCATAGATCAGGATATTTTTGAGCAGACCACAGAACAACAAACTACAACTACACAAACCGTGGAAGGAACCACAGCTTTGAAAGGCGTCTTATCAACTCTAACGGGAAGTGAAGTGAACGGTCTAACTAAAACGATTCAAATAACCACAAGCTCTGAAAGCGACGGTGCCGCAACAACGCCGCTATCCATAGGAAGCGAGGTCGACGACAATTCATCTGTTGTTACATCAAATGTATCGGGTTCAAAACAGCTTTCCACGACGGGGAAAATAACATTGCCATATACGGAAGTTGTGGAGGAAACGGATACTGAATCTCAGAGTCCAGTGAACGAAATTGTGGATTTGACATCGCCATCCACACATGATTTGAGAGAAGCGAGTACTGAACCTTTGACCACTGCACCCAGCAATATGAATGGAGAGGCCACAGCAACAACTTTGTTCCCACAAGACCGGATACCAAAATCATCTACTGAACCCATTCTCAAACTGATCGACTTGGAGCAACACAACGTGGAAGTGACAGACGACAGAGAACACAACAACGGTCACGATGGCCTTAAAAGTATCAGAAAAAAGCAATTGATAGACAAACATTACATGGACTCAATAAGTCATTCCAGAGAAGTGGAAAGTCTGAAGGATGGGGAATTGATCAATTTGGAAATGAGACACGGCTACTTGGGACCCATATTAATGGAGGAGAAAAGGATTCATCCCACACATCAGCCACCGCATTTGAATTCCATTGAAGCTGGCATTCGCAATGGACAATTAGTAGAATTGAAAGCTAGTCAAAGTGGCGAAGTCACCACTGCACTTTCAGATCTTCAACCAGAGAACATTGATAGGACAAGGGACGGCGACCCTGCTGTAACCTCGTCTGAAGAAGAAAATGGACCGTCCACCGTCTTGTCTACAACTGTCTTCCAAGTAGCGGACGGTTCAGCTACCAAAGTCCCTTCCAAATCGGCCAGCACCTTGTTTACCTCAGTCGATGACGACGAAGCACATAAAAAAAGCCAAGTCGGCAGTAAAATCGAATCGAAAATATCCGACATTCAAATCGAAGTATACGACTCCACCATAGATTCCATTGTGGCGTCGACAAACTTTAAGGATGCAGACATATCCGCAGGGAAAAGCACCAAGCCGCCGCTTCCCATCGCTCAACAGGAGCGCTTTACGCAGTACGTAATAGATCGAACCGAAACGTCCACTCAAGAATCTATTAACTTTAGCACGATACAAGTTGCTTCGGGAAAACCCGAACCTGCCGCCATTGAAATTCACATCAACGTTTCGGAATCGCTGGGCAATGACAGTGAAGATGTGGATGTGTCTTTCCCACTTTCGGAGTTCAATGGCAATGGGCGTGGTGATGAGGCAGCATACGACGATGTCAAGCTCTCAGATGACATAAAGTTGAAAATAGCCTCCAACCCGCCTGCCACGAACTTGTCCAGCAAAGACAAGAGCGATGAGGTCCTGGTCGTGGAAATTGTCGACAACAATGACAATGGCACAGAGTCGAGGGGAAGGACAAAAAACTCCGATGAATTGTTCATAACGGATGTTAAGGGAACATATGTGACACCACCGCCGCCACCTCCTCCGCCCCCTTTCCAACCAAACTATGACCGAGACTCCGACACCATATTCTACATTTCGAATACGGAGGTCAAGGTGGGTGAAACCTTGCCCGCCGAAAAGAAGGACTTGGACGAACGCAAAATGAAATTGGAGAACCAATTCTTTCCAGTCAACTATATGGCAAGCACTCACCCGAATGTAAACAGTGCGCGCAATGCGGATGATCCAGGCGTGGCCGATCACCGGGTATACGAGGAAGACATTATTGTTTCATCGCATTCGGGCAATCAGGCGGACTCATTGAAGATATATCGGAATCGCAATGATCCTTCGCCCCCCTTGGACGTGACGTATGTGGGCGAGTCAATTATCGAAGTGGAACAACAATCTCCAGACTTAACTGCGACGACGGGCTCTCCCGCAGACCATGTAATCACCCCCCAGCCCGACGTCATAATACAACCGGCGATACTGCCAGAAATCTCCATCGGAGTGCCAGTGATTGGTGAACTGCCTCCACAAATTGAGCTGAAGGAGATCGACTATATGCCGAACGAGAATCATCGTCAATTTGGCAGCAGCGACGAACAAAGCCATAAATCCATTAGCGCCGCTGCCAATGATGTGGACAACCATTTAGATGAGTCTTCGGTTCAGTATGGCGGTGACCTCATAGACGAAAGTGCTGACGGGGGTTTCGATGGAGTGGAGGGATCCTATCCCTTTGGTAACCCAGCCACTATGACTAAGCGGAAGTCAAACCATATGGCCGACTACGCACACCTGTATGTCAACTACGGAGTGAACAACATGCGCAAGGACGAACTGACAGCCGACATTAAAGACTCGGGAGAGGTGGCCTTAATTCTCGACCGCAAAGCCAATGACCAAAGTGACCAGTTAAATGCAACATTTAAGGAGTTCCTAAATAAAATGATATTCAACCATTCCTCTGGCCTGAATGAAACCGAGAGGAACACCAATGTTACAGCATTCTCCATTATGGAGGACTCAATGGAGGATAAGAACGCAGGTAATTTCCTTGTGGTTGTTGTCACAGTTTTCTAGTCAAGAGTGCGACACACGAACTACTTTCTAACCGACCGATTGGTTTCTAAATATTTTCAGAGGACATCATAAGCCTGATATCATTGGCCATAGGACTATTCATCGTCATACTGCCGGTGGTGGTCACTTGCAGCATGTTGTGGGCTCTAAGGTATAGCAACAATTGGAATGGCCTCATTGACTCCCATCCCGCCATCTCCAGCTGATTAGTAAATTAAATTAAAAGTTGTTAAATGCAAAGTTAAATGGCGCAACTGGAGATGGTGAACATGGGCATAGACATTGGGGCTAGTGCCCATCTCGGTAGATCTATGCTTCAGAGAAACCCAACAGCACTTCATTTGGTTTTCATTGTCCTTCTGTTCTTTTGTTACACTGTCATCCCTACAGATATCTGTACAAAAAATACCACTCCAGCTCAGGCGACACCAACGGCAACGTGGACACGGTCGATGCCAAAGGCCAAGCAAACGAAGATGAGGCCGAGAAAGGAGAGGTAAGCCCGATAATTTGATTTATTATTTATTTCTCTTCAAGCATAGCATTACATGATTCCATTTGCCTCCATTGTCGATACGAGCAACAACTGTCACTGTCACTGTCTCAGTGTGCCGGTTCGATTCGAATATGTTAAGGCCAAATTAATGGAAGGGAATTGGGAGCGTCTTGATAGGCGGCGATTTCTTTTGAGACTCCATGCTTTCAATTCTATTTCTCTGCTCTACCATTGCAGGCTGCACAGGGATCAGCCTCTTCTAGCAATCCTGACAACGTCACGGACGAGGACATACAAAAATGTCCAGAATCGTTCCCCAATTCCAGTGCAGAGAATGGCGTTGTTAAATTCGCCACTGAACACACGCTTCCCCTAGATAGCTCATTAGAATCGCATAGCCAAGTGTTTCCCAGCGCTTCAAAGGCCCGAGATTTAAACCTTGTTCTTAAATTGGCCACTGTGTCCGGTGAAACTGTTCCGTCCGTCCACGATGACGACATATCGCAGGGTCCGAACGGTTCAATAACGAAAATGACCTTGGAAAATAATCTTCTGATTGTTGAGACCGAAGAGCGCAATGTAAGTCGTTGTGTCCGTTTTGTCTCTTTTTGTTGTTTCAATGTTGTCTTGTAACTGTTTGTGGCTGAGGGTGCGAGAGTAATTGATGTGAGTGATGCATTGGCATGTCCCGAAATCGACAGCGAAGCTGAGGCTATAATAATCAATCTATTGCATTTCATATTTTGTTTTTCTTTTAATGCCTAATCATATGTTGACGAAGTATGACGATCACGACACATAACAGTCTTGCTGGTCTAAAGCCTTGTCCATTTGGCCCACAATCAGAGATATGGGCAACAAGTAGACAGACATATTCAAGACAGGGTTCAATTAGTTTTTTTTTTTTCCTTTTTGGTTTTCTTGGTTCATCGTTGTCTGGCCCAAGTTCGGTACATGCCAACATATGCTCGCGTACTCATGATTTGGTGTCTGGATTTTCTCTCTTTACTATTTCTCTTTCGCTGTATGTGGTCAATGTATAAACATAGACAAATTAGGTGTAGACTAAAAAGTTGTCTCATATGTTATCTCTGAAAAAAGTGCTTCAATAGATGTCGTTCATGCTGTGAGAGAGGTTCAGTAGACTCACTCAATTCTCTCATTGTACAAAATATTGAATATTTTTATGATTCCTTATTATTTATCAATTAAAAAGGAAACATTGACTTTGTTTACTTTTACATTATCCAAGTATGTCGTGAAATATAAAAATATAGAACTTAAATAGCAGAAAAACGAATAAATTGTTTTCGAAGTCGAGTGACTTCACTAGCCCTGAGTGACTTGACTGGCCCAAGATCAACAATAGTGACATTTGCCGGAAGGGAAAATTTTCAAACTTTTTAGTCTATACCTTTATTTGTCTATGGTATAAATAGATATTCGTATCAGTATCTGTATTCGTTTACGTTTAATTTTCTTTTACTCTCTTATGTGTGCGTGTGTATGTGTTTACTACTGTAATCGTAATGTGCTCGTATCTTTTGCTCGCCACTGTTAATGTGTTGTATTTGGTTTAGTTAATTGTTATTGCCGTTTCGTAGAACTGGAACACTGTAAATAGTTTGGTAGCGTATGAAAGGGTGATGTAAATGTAACGTGTCCTTTTTCCCAGCACCCAATGGCCGCGTCCCTCAGCTGGGTGTTACCCTCATTCACATAAAGTGGACAGGATGTTGGCTCGGGAAGTAGTGTAGGCTGCACGTCAACAAATCATTGCATAGCTTTTGATGTTTGTTCCCTCATTTGATTTGAGAAGTTTGCACTTTTTTCTTGAATTCGCACGAGCGCTAAACACCAAATGATATTTCTCTTTCTCTCCCATTCGTTTTTTTTAATTTCTTCTCTCTCAAAGGATATGTCCAGAGTGGCAAGAGAAACCAAAATGGACTACAATAAAGATGGGGTGTTTGTTGTCGAAGTGGCACGCGGAATCGACTCGAAGACCATGCCTGACAGCCCAATAGCCGAGGAATCGCAAAAGGCAATATCCATGTATGAGCCCAAAGTCAATGGCACAACGGGATACAATGTCGCCAATGAGAAACTCACCCATAACAACGCCAAGGTACAGATTCATTCACCACCACCAGAGAAGGTCGATGAGGGACCACGTAGTTTACACCAAATTGAGGAGGAGCCATTACATTCCCCCCGCTTGCAGGGCAGCGGCAAAAATGAAATTGCAGACAATTACAAATCAAATGTTGGACTGTCACAATCCGATCTAAGCTCAACCTCCTCCAATGATTCCAACAAAGGATACTCTTATGGAAATCAGGAATTGTATGTTGTAGAACAGACTGGATACTCTACATCAAGTCCGACGGGAAATATTGCACTTAAATGCGACTCCAAGGACATCAAGGACGATGACCGTAACTCGGAGAATGACAAACATCTAGAAATTACTCCAGAAAGAAAAGAGGAATCAAAAGAGAACGAACAATCACTGAGCGCAATTAAGAAGGCCAAAGATGTAGGACAAATTGGCGATGAGCGGGTAACTCAGAATCAAGAGCAAGACACACCTGTGGGCGAATCAACGGACAACTCAACAGAGATAATTCATGAAGCGGAGAAGGGAAACGACTACCAGCTAGAGAAGGAGAGTGAGAGCACCGAACAAATTGATGAGTTGGTCGTAAATGAAAATGAAATCGGAGATCAAATTGCCATGCCTTCACTCAATGATGGGCCAAAGGAAGATGAAAATAACATTGAAAGTCCAAGGGATATTCGTATCGAAAGTGAAAACATAAAAAATTCCGAACTTCAGGATACAAACGAAGATGGGGAAAATGAGCCTGAAAACATTAACAGCTCGAAACATTCAAAGTCCCATCACATCATCGAACAGGGAGGTCAGGGCAATGACGAAAACAAGGAAAAGTCAGCAATGATAGAAGTGAATGATTCTGACATTTTAAATTCCATCGACCACGAACAGCCATTGCAAGAAGAACATTTACCGTCAATCGGAGAAAATGGAGGTGACGAAGCATCGCCAACTGAAGGGGCAAACGATGACGAAAAAGTTCAAACCGACATTCTAAATGATCCAAAACAAACCACTGAAAATATGGGACATGAGGATGCTCCCCTGAATCAAAATGCGGACCGAGATATAGAAACTAACGATGGGGAAATTAAGGATGAGAATCCAGATAGCGTTGCAGAAACAAACGATGACACAAATGTAAAACCTACCACTCAAGATGAAATTGCCGATCCAAATCCCATCGAAACTAATGAAATAAAAGCTGATGTAAGGCAAACCATTGAAGAGAAGCCTCTTGTTCAAGACACTGTTAACGGCGAAAAGGAAAATTCCGCACAGGACACTATTATATTCAATGGACATATTGTTAATCGCCCTTCCGAAAACGAATCGAGTAGGGAGCTATCGCAAACGAATAATATGCCCGAGATCATCTCCGAAACTAAGAACAAGATATGTACAACTGTGAGTGGCAACGGCCATATAAATGGCGTACAGGACATTGCCATTGAAGGCGGAGATGTTCATAAGACCACCAACGGGACATCCCACATCTCCAACGGCTCCGATATATTGCCAGATCTAGTACCAGTCGAACTGGACAGCCATCAGGCTAATGCAACCGATCCCAACGGAATTCATAACAGCCACACGGAATTTGAAAATGGCTACGACAGTATTATAAGTCTGCCAGAACCACCGCCCAATACAGATGAAATGTTGTGCAGTGATCTAAGCGAGCTCCAGTTGGACTCCCTGCCACCACCGCCTCCACCTTTAGTCAGTGAACTGAATGGCGAAACATTTTCACTGAAGGATCTACCACCGCCGTTAACAAATTCTGGACCAGAGCCACCACCAAATGAAGATATGGCCAATTTGTGTGCAACATTACCGCCACCACCACCAACCACCCTACACGTCTCATCCAGTCCAGCCATGAACGGCAACATGCATGCGTCCCCTCTCACGCCGCCAGCATCGCCACCGCCACACTTCACTAATGGACTCCACACGGGACTTTGTCCCCCCATAGCAGTCGATGTGAATGGAAGTTAATGCTGCTGGCTGCGATCCCAACCACAAGCCATCAACTGACTGACGACATCTGTTCCCAAAGAAGCTCCCCAAAAGCCCCAAATGATATAGAAATCAAAACAAACATTTTTAGGTAGACATGCGACGGACACGGCAGAGCAACGAAACCCAATTACCGAAACCATGCCACATCCAAATACTGATCGCAAGCAAGTACTAACTAGCTAGGCCATAAGTTTTTACCGTAAACTCTAAACTCTCTGTAGATTTCAACTGCTACAAGCAGTGTGCCAAATTCCAATCAACACACCCACCCACACACACACACACACACACATACACACAATCCATGAATACATACAAATTATCCACACACAACCACACAGATTAAGCAAGTCTCTCCAACATGCCTTTGCAGTGTCGCCTCGAAGGCAACCGATGCGACCCGTGTGAGGCCAGGAACTAATTATTTTTGTAGTTTACATTTTAAACTTTAGCTAAATCCCCAAAATACTTAACTAACTAATGTAGTCAATCCAATCCAATTTGTTGTTAACCTTCCTAATCTATGGAATAGAATATTTTTCAGTGTAGTGTTTTAACAGCCAATTAGCTGAATATAATCGCAATAAATACCAACCCCTCCGTCGGCATTCCATTCAGCAGCAGGCGTTGGTTACCAAAGATAATCCCCCAATCCCAATAGAAGCATTGTTGTTTCCCTGACATTTTGATACGGAGCCACCTTGCAAGTCCCTTACCAAGTTTCCTAATCCATAATTCTAGCCATAATCCAGCTCCTATGACACGTCCTCCTCCCCAAAACATTCGTAACTCTAGTCTATGCTACTCAACTCAAAAAAAAAAAATCAAGCCCTAAGTAGATCTTGACATAAGTTTATTTGCCTATAGTAATTAATCGCCAAAACAAGTATGCCCTACGCCAAGGAATCTCCCTCACAACGGACAGGAGTAAGGCGTTGTGGGTGGACCTTTTGTGTTTAGCCTAACAATATCCGAAATATTTAAATACAGTAAGTGACACATTCAAACGAACCAGCAGAAATCAGAGAACCACAACTACAGAATACCGCATTCAAATTTTATCAATTTTACCTATAGACTCTATATAAATCGTATGACAAGGACGTCTTTTCGTTCGGAACTCGCTCTTAGAATATGACAAGGAAAGCTCTCTAGACTACGGCATGAATAAATTTTGCTGAAAATGTGTCAGTGTAGAGCAAGCAAAGCCTAATAATTCGTAACATTGGAAAAGTAATACAAACGAAATTTTTATATAGGTAATCATGATATATATATATACACACACACACGCGAGGAAAATGGAATAACAACAAATACAAGCAATCACATATACATACACTCACAACAAACAGACACACCCAAATCCAAAACTGTTGAAGCGCACTCAATATACACGCCGAGGAGGGTGTATTAGGAGGAAATGTTACGAACGTATACTATACACACATACACTATAAAAGACTCAATATAAACACACATACACACACACACACACTTATTCATTCATAGACATTTTGAAACAAAAGTCGATAGGTGCAGAAGTAATCATGCATAGAAACATATTTAATTGTAATTGATTTGTATAGGTTTTTCTAGATATTTTTATACAAATTTGCTGCACAATTTATGTATGTTGGAGTGGCGGACGCTCAAACGGAAGTAGATTTAGATGCAGTTCCAACATGTCTGCAACAGCATCCAACATATGGATGGATGGCCATGACTGAATGCTCGAAGTAGATACCGGGACACTCTCGCGATCCGATGCAATGCAACAATAACAAATGGACGGCGACATACATAAACGTAATTGTTATTTAAATTTGTATAATTAAGTTAAATGTAATTTAAAAATTATTATTACTATTATTATTGAAGATTATTGACTTGAACAAACAAATGGTAATAAAACAAAAATTCCACGAAAGTAAATTTCAAAGGCATTGTTTTATTCATTTATTTTATTTTTTTCAGTTAAAAATAAACGCTTCCCCACCAACATCATAAGTGTAGGTGGCTTTATGGAATAGATCTACCGGTATTTTTGTTTTGAATGGACATTTTTCGAACGAACTGTACAGGGTGAGATGAAAAACTGCAACAAAATCAAATGCCACAAATTTCACATTTTTTTTAAATTTATTGAATGAAAGCAAAAATGTCGGAAATAGCATCAAATTTTGGAATACGTTTAGATTTGTTCGAATTTGTCACCTTTGGCACGAATTATGGCCTTCAAACGGTCAATGAAACCGTGACACACTGCTCGACTGTTGCTCTCCGGTATTTTGGTCCATTCCCGGCGAAGCGCTTGCTTGAGGTGATCGACACTTTGGTATTTTTAAGTGTCAACCTTGCTTTCCAAAATACTCCAGGCATAATAGTCCAACGGATTGATATCCGGAGATTTTGGTGGTCATTGTGCGCTGGAAATCATTTTGTAACCATTCTTGCTGAGTCCTGTTGGAATGTCCAAGGTCTGCGGCCCTTCGGAATATTTTAGCGAAAATATTCGGCATTTATTCTGATGCCACAACACAACATAATCATTTTCAACTGACCTCTTTGGCAAGTAAACACGATCATTTTGTTTGTTTACAAACTGCTGGACAAAGAATGTTTTCTCATCGGGGAAAACCAAATTCGGCAGTTCACCACTTTCGGCCAAGCGAAGCAATTCTTTAGCTCTTTTGAGTCTATTTTCTTTCTGTTGCGGTGTAAGTTCTTGCACTTTTTGGAGTTTCAATGGCTTTACTCCAAGCTCATTTTTCAATATTTGCCGAATGGAGTATTGCGATATGTTCAGCTCACGAGCCATTTTTCGGCCACTGCTTTTCGAACCATTTCTGCTGATTTTGCCAATTTCTTTCGTCCACTTCCTCGATGTCGGGCTACGCTACCAGTATGACGGTAACGAGCGTAAGAGACACAAAGATTTATTCACATTTAAATTCTGGAGTGCTCTAACGATAGCCACTTGTGGTTTTCCAGCCAAATATAAAGAAATCACACTATCACGCTTGAATTCCATCACGAATAACTTATTTTTATGGAAAATTCTCATTCTCGAAATGCTTTTGTACCATTGTAAACAATATAATGAACTGTCACTGGAATAATTTTAACAGCTGTCGAACGTATGGCTTAGATATGACAGCAGTCTGAAGTTTGTTGCAGTTTTTTTAGAATCTCCGGAGGTTTGCCTTCCGACCGCCTTGATTTGTAGATGTTTTTTAAACAACTCAAAATAGGAAAAATCCTTTAAAAATTGCCCTCCAATATTAAAAGTGTTTCCATCTGGCAATTAAAAGATCTGATTAAAAATAACATATGGGACCCGCAAATGTTTGCCTATATAAATGTTAGCCAATGGATTCTTACATTATACAATTGCAGATCTAAACACAAGTAATTAAAAAGTAGCAAGGAAGTGTGGGAAATTTGTGTGAAATGACTCATTCCAACCATGGCTCAACCAGAAGGGTTGTTCAACTTCGAGAAACTAGGAAAAAATTTCGGAGTTTTATAGTGTCAAATAGACTTTTAAATGTGCAACAATTGGTTTTGTTTATTTTGCATTTTTTTTTTAAATCTTCCATAGGGGAGAACGCACACAACGTGAATGGAGGGATCAAACTATTTTTCATCCCAAAATGTACTATTGTTACACCTGAATTAGAAGTAATTTCAAATTGTTTTTTTATTCAAAACAGTGCACATACATATATGTATTATATTGTATGTATGTAGTTTTGTTCTACCTTCGGTAGTTGTGGCATGATTCCACGATTCAACTATATGTTATATCTTAATCTGAATCGATTTCCCCTTAAGACTGAGGATATTTTTAGCAGCATTTGGCCTCTTGTAACAAGTATCATTGTCATAGAGGGCATGCTATGAGTTTGAGAAGGCCTTAATATTAAATCGGACCGAACATATATTTAAAAGTTATAGCTATATCTGACTCGATATGACTCAAACTTTTGGATTTTAATTAATTGCGAGACTTAAATATCGCATTTCAAACTACTGCGTGGAAATGAGGCTAGGATTACCAAACTACCGAATTTCGGTGGGTTCTGTTATATGGAACCGTGAACTGATATGGACAGTGTTTTGACACCGGTTGTAGAATCCATTATGAACCACAAATACTTGTTAAATCGTCAAAATTCCAAATATACGAAGGTTCTCTTATATGGTCGCTATAGAAAACGCAGACCTAGACAAAGCCCTGCCACCACAGGTGTAACCCGTAAAAAAATCTTAATACGAAACTTGGAACAGTTCCGTGGAAAAAATGTGGCTTATATCTTTGAAATGTACCGTTATATGGACGCACAGGAAGACGTGTACCGATACACCCACGATCCTAGACACAATGCAAACTGTGTTCCAAATTTTGTCAAATAATGTGGGCTGTGTCGTGACAGGCAGACGGACAGTAAGACGAACATCGTTAAATCGACATACAATTTTGAGAGGTGTTACAAACGGAACCACTATGGTGGAGGATATAAAAAAGGTGGTTGTCGAACAGATCACAACAAATTTTGAAATTTATAGCTTTCTTTGTTAACTTAGCTCGAATGATACCAAATTTAAAATACTCCTAGTATGAATTATCATATCTACTTTCGAACCAACAGAAGTTTGCCTACCAGTAACAAAGAACCACATACATCTCTCAAACCTTCATCAAAATCTTCAAGAAATTTAAAATTTTATCTCTAGTCGTCGACCCAATTATTTAATTCGATCCCGCAAAACAAGTAGTATCAATCTGGTTACCGGTAGTACGTTGGAACCTTTTTCGTTATCAACTTCAAAATCCTTTTCTTAACAAACTTTTATTTCCGATTGACAAATATTTATACCAATTGCAGATTGAATTGTCATTTCATTCCTTTATTAGTTTTATCGTTGAAAATTAAGAGAACACATTAAATTGTTTTAAATAAAAATAATTTAAATTCTGGTTCTATTCTATTCTATTCGTCCTACTCGACTCCGATATTTATACCCTACGCCACAAGGTGGTCAGTGCATTTGTTTGTAACAGGCAAAAGGAAACGAGATAGACCCATAGTTCCTTTTGATGATCTGCATAGAATCACATTTGAGTCGATTTATGCATGTCCGTCCGTCTGTCCATGTATTCTCGTAAACAAAGTACAGTTCGCATTTATTACCCGATCCAGATGAAATTTTGCACAAATCATTTGTTTGGCCCAAGGACGAACCTTATTGAAATTGGAGATAATCGGTCAAAATTTAGATATAGCTCCTATATATATCTTCGTCCGATTCGGCCTTTATTGTGCACCAAACGTGTAATATCAGCCCGAATAATATGGAATTTTGCACATACAACCAAATTAGGCCTGAAAATAAGTATGCCAAATTTGATCGAAATCGGTTCAGATATAGCTATAGTTCCCATATATAATGTTCATCCGATTTGTTTTATTTGTTACCCACAGCCGTAATATGCACCCCGTAACAACGATATTCAGGGAAATATATCAAATACAGCTCAGAAATACCTTTGCTAAATATTATCGAGATCGGTTCGGATTTGGATATATCTCCCATATACAACTACGTCCGATTTACCTTTTATTGTGCGCCAAACGTCTAATATTTGCCCAAATGGAATAAAATTTGGCACTTACGACCGAATTGAGTCTAGAAGCTAATATGTCTATATAGCTATAGCTCCCATATACATTGTTCACCCGATTTTTTGTTATATTTGTTACCCACAGCCGTAATATTCCATATTCAGGGAAATATATGAAATACAGCTCAGAAATATCTTTGCCAAATTTTATCAAGATCGGTTCAGATTTGCAAATATCTCCCATAGATATTAAATGCCTCGGCATATTAATCTTTTAAACTTTAAATTATAATAATATACATAGCGTGTATGATTGAATTCTCCCATAAAAACTTTTTATTGTTATGTGGAGCTCTACTAAATTAGCAAAGCGGTGTAGGGTATCATAAAGTCGGCCCGCCCGACTTTAATTCTTTCTTTACTGTTTTATTCTGTAATAGTTTTCAACTGTCGTTTTCCTTAGTCGTTGATATTTTTTTATTTTTACTCATAACCCTGAAACGACCCGATTACTCATACCCCGGCTGATTATTGATGTTAAGCGGTGAGAGCTTTTCTTCGCCTGTATATTCATTGGTCTATTCTGATGTCGCCAAATAGAATTTCACGAACTGTACATGAATTAAAAGGCGTATATAAGCTGTTTTGTTAGTTAATGTCTAACGAACATTTGTTTCAATAACTTCAGGGTTAACAAGAGTAAAATATTTGTCTTAACACTGAAAGAAAGAAGCGAGCAACATCCAATATTACCGAAAGAAACGTATTTGAAATCAAAATATTTTTTCTAACTATTAACCAAAAAAAATTGTTGATGTCTCTTCTCTTTTCTAAAATGAAAAACTCAAATTTGAAGATTTTTTGCCATAACATAATTGTTTCATCCGAACAAATCCCCATTTGGATATGAATTTCGGAGTACTTTAATATTTGTTATACCTTCAATATGCACCTAGTTTGCTCTTTAATTCTCAGATGTATGTATTCTCTTTAAAGCGTGCACAGCAACAAGACATTTATGCCAGCTATGGAAACGATTTGAGATAAAACCCATTCACATCCAACTCGTGTTTTTTTTTTTTCAACATTTCGTCGTTGTTTTCCAAATTGGATCTGAGTGGCGTCGGCAGGGTGGAAACTTCTTACAATTCAACTGAATAAATTTTAACTTATGCTACACAGACACACACACACAGGCACAGAATGAAACCTGCGATGGTGTGCTCTGCCAGGTTTCCATAGAAAGTTGTGTAGCAAATGAATACACATTCATGGCGCCCATGACGCTTTGCA